CGGCCACTGCCGGCGGTCCCCCGCAGTGCTGGTCCCCCCTCCCCATCCCAGCACCAAGTCTCGGTCAACAGCTTTGACCTCCCAAGCAGGCCCCTATTTCCCCCCGTTCAGCCTCCCTCCGGACGCTCTTCCTTAGCTCCCGTGTCTCCCGGACTTGCACTTGTCCAGGTTCCATTTCAAATGCCACTTGCTCTAAGGATCCCCCCTGCCTCCTCCCATCCCAAAGACAGGTCAGCTTTGCACCACGGCCTGTGCCTAAGCTAACAGCTTGTTCTCCTGCAAGGCCCGTTGCCTCCTCCCTTACTGCAGGGTTTGTCCCCGGGAGAGGAGCAGTCTCAGAGCCTGGGAATCTCCCGCCTGCCTAAACGGGCAGGTCACTCAGTGGTAGAGGCCAGTGCACGAGGCAGAGGGTCAGAGGCACGGGACGCTGATTTCAAACTCGGGCTCTTAGTCAGTTCCAAACCCCTGACCTATCCCACACCCCACAGTGGGCTTCTTAACTGAAGATTTCAACTTATGGGTGAGTAACTGAGGAAAAAATAAAGGAGAAAAATGGAAACTATAAAAGTGCATCACCTATAAGAAGGGTGAGTTTATTATATGCCGCCTGCTTCAGCAAGGTGTTGTACTCGGGAGCACCCTTCTGGACTGCTGTGTGTAATGCTTGTCTCTGTGAATCCTGGTGTGCAGCACTGAAAGCCCCTCTGAACCTGTCCTACAGACCATCCACGGCTCTTTCGCAGACTGATGGGCCAGTGATATGCTCACAACACCTTCAATGCTGCACCATCATATTTTTGAAAAAATACAAAAAGTAATGCCTCATGGAACCAACATAAACCAAGTCTTAGATGAGATTACGTGGAAAGAAGCTGTCGGATGAATATTCACTACTTTATCTTGACAGAATGTCTTCCAAAAAACTACAATGTGTCTGTAGATAAGACTAAGGAAGATTTGATTAAGTTCATTTCGGAAAACTTTTCTCATTCACAGCAACACTTCAGGATAACAACGTTCTTTACAATGCTGAGTATAGAGCTTCATGGATGGGCAACAGCTTAGAGAATTCACCTCCCCCCACAGCGGGCTTTTAGTTTTCAAGAAACGTTTATAAAGCTCCTTTAAAGGACAGGATAAACTTGACATCACGTGGCACTGAGTGTGGCCCGCCCTGATGGTGCAGACAGCTGTCCTCTGCTAGATTAAGAAGGCTAACACCATACAGCAATCAATCATCATGAACTGACTTTAATTCATTTATTTTCTGATAACTTTATTTGTTGTTCCTTTGAGCAGGTCATATGAACTAAGCTGTGTATGCCTGTCAAAGAGGAAGGGTGAGAGGTGGGAGGCACCCTGGGGTCACTGGTGGAGGAAAGGGGGCACTGGTGGTGAGGTGATGCCGGAACACTGTATGCCTGAATCAACCTTCTAAATTATGGCATCTTAGGACAAAAGTAAAGAGTATTCCATTAAAAGTGCCCCGTATACGTAGTTTTACCATGATCCATAAAAGGATCGTTCGGATAAACCGTGAAAGCTTTTGTTCACATTCTTTCTTCCCAAAACGCCTCGATGTCCTCCCAATACCCCACCCCCACAAGCTGTGAAACTTCCATCCATCTTCCCATCTTCCAAGACTGAGTTCAAAGGCCACCTTTTCCAGGAAACTCTCTACCACCCACCCAAATCCAAACCTGTTCCTTCTTCTAAACCATCGATGTTAAAAGCTTTCTTTTTTAGTACCTGTCTCATTCTCTTTCTTACTTGCAAAGTCCATAATTTACTCATCTTTGTATCCCCTTCTACAATATGAATCAGTAAGTGCTTGTTCCACCTACAAGTAACTACCTGGATCCAAGGACGGTCATGATTTTAAAGGCCTACAGAATGGCTTGTATGTCCAGCAACCATCCACAGTTACTCACACTGCCATGGCTCTGTGGACACTGGTGGAGGGAAGGGCGTTGGTTGGTGTGGGGTTGGTATTGGGACTCTGTATGCCTGAAACTGCTATGAGCACGTTTGTAAATCGTGGTGCCTAAACAAAAGGGATTCCGAAGTTGGTGAAAATCAGAGGCTGATGAGAGGCACTGCTCCCTCCATCTCCACCTGCTCACATCAGGGCAGCCCCAGCATTCAGAGTCCCTGGAGAGAATGCAGCCAGCGTTGGAGCCAAACGCCCAGTGAGAACCTTCACCTTCCTCCCAGTTCTCGGCTCAAACGCCCAAACAGAGAGGCAAAATTAAGATTACACTTCTCCAATTTTAGATATTGCAGGGGGAAAAAAAAAACACAACTAAAACAGCTCTCTGGATAAAGCATGTTCAACAGTTCCGGTGGGGGAGGGGGGAGGGGACGTTGTTATGAGTATTTCTCAGCGTATTTCTCAGTATCTGTACTTTGTGGGGGAAGGGTTCAAAGGAGCCAGAGGACTATTGAAGATACTTTTTTGATCATCAATTATTGACTCACTGTAAGGATCATTCTCAATAATAAGGCGCTCTTTTATTCACACTGCCTCTACGGACATTCGAAGAGTCTGTGGTTACTGAACTTACTTACCTGATGTTCAGTCACACATCTGCAATGAGAAAACTGCCATTTGTCTTTTTAGAAAACAGTATCCACCCATAAAAGTGTTTAGGGAAATAAATTTCACTTCTATTTCACATTAACGAGCACCTCCTCCCAACTAAAGTGTTTTTCTGAGATGAATTAGGGGCAGAAGCTCTTAGTGGTCTCATTCAAAAGCTACAAATATTTTCTAAGTTAATTTAGACAGGGCAGACCTAATTTCCTAGCTTATGGTATTCCATCCTCAAATTTGTAATTTTTGATAGAGAACGTTTCTTCTCTTTCTTTGATATTTTAACAAAACTTTCGCTTCTAGTTCTTCAAGGTTTATTTTATAATTAATTTTAGAGTCGCCCTAATAATTGGGAGACATCTTCATCAGCATAGAAAAATAAACTGCTTTGAAGTTAGAAATCTGGGCTTGAAAATTATGGTGGCTTAAATCAGATTGTCTTTGCTCTGAGATATGTAACACTGGGAAGGTTATCTGGTCTTCCCCACCTCAACAGTCCAATCTGCACAGTGGAACTAATAATATAATAATGTATATAATAATTACACTTTATATAATATATAATGACAATAATATTGGTGTCTGATAACTGGTAAGTGCTGAGTAAATGTTCGTTAAATTGTACCATAATTTATTCTACTATCTCAGTGCAGTCATTCAACAGCTCAAAACTTCACTTCCCCATCTAGAAAATGGGACAGGTACCACCTACCACCTCTAGGTTGTGTGTTTCGAGCAAGAAAATAATATGAAATACTTTTTATTATCAAACAGTATTCAAAGGTTATTTTGGATCACTAATCAACTTTACAATAAACCATACCAGAAACCAAATAAATAAAGATAAACCATAAAACTGAGTTTCACTAATAAGATCCCCCAAATCCACATGAACAGACATACTCAAGGAGCCTGGCTAGGCTTCAACTTAAGAGAACTAGACAAGCTTTTGTAAAATGTACACTGTATATCTACAAACTGAAAAGCTTCCTAAGTCAAGCCAAACTGCTGTCCTACAATGCACCCAGGAAACCCTGCATGCTTTCCGCAGCCCAAAACAAACGTCCATGCTGACTGAAATATACAGGCACAGAAACCTTTCTATAGGCTTACCTATTTTCACTTCTCAAAATAATAAATGTACTGCAGCCAATGTAAATGTTTAATCAACCGATAGACATTTACTGTGGAACAGTGCTCCAGAGCACTCAGGGAGCCAGGACGCAAGGAGCCAGGGAGAGACAGCACAGTGGTCAGGGGGCTTGCCCTGCACGTGGCCAACGTGGGTTTGGTCCCCAGAGCCGGGCGCAAGCCCCCGGACGGACCGGTGTGGCCCTACATGCCAAAGGAAAACAAAATTCTTCAAAGCGCAAAGTGGAACAGAACTCAGCCCAGGTGCTAGAAGAGCCTACACAGTGTGGCAGACAATTCCAAATTTTTCCTCGTAAAAGTTACGAGGGAACTCAGCGAGCAGAAAAAGCGACGTGAAATCAAACGAAAATACTGTTATTCCCTCTGACCAAGAAAATAAATAAATAAATAAATAAATAAATAAATAAACCCTGCCTTGGGGAGGCAAGTCCGTTTCTCCGAGTTCACTCTCTAGAAACCTACTGAACGTGCGCCAGAAATCAACGTTTCTCACCGCAAACCTGTGAAACAATGTATCGGTAAATGAAAGGTTGAACCGACGCCAGCAGCAACAACGCAGCAATTAGCAACTTTTATGGAGTAATAACATGTTTCATCTTCTCTCCACGCCGGCTCTCGAAGTTTTCGGTGCAATATATAAAAGTTTCCTTGCACGGGACCCATCCTGCGTGTCTGCCCGGCGCCAGCATCACGCAGCGCCGGGGGACTCGCTCGCGCCGGAGGAGCTTGAGAATGAAGTGCCGGAGACCGCGCGGCCTCTCGCGTCCAGCGGACCCCGTCGCACCTGGCTCCGGAGGCAGGAAAGTCCCGCAGCCGGAGCCACCGCGGAGACCCCGTCCCTCCACCGGCGCGGCCGTAAATCCCGGCGCCGCTCGCTGCATATTCATGTGCGCCCCAGCGGGGCCGCCGAGGGTCCCCGGGACGCAGACAAAAAGGGGACCGGGCCGGGCTGCAGGCGGCTGGGCAGGGCCGGGCCGCGCGGGCCCAGCGCGTCCGGCCGTGGCCCGCGCCCGAGGGTGTGCGGCGGCGGCGGCGGCGGCGAGGCCGGCGCCCGGGATGCGGGATGCCCGGGGATGCCCGGGGACGCCCGGGGACGCCCGGGGACGCCCGGGGACGCGCGGCCGGCCCCGGCCCCGCGCCGGCGCCGCTCGCGGGAGGCGCGGGGCCCGCGGGGCGGCAGGTGAGGGGCGCGGGGGGCGCGGGCGCGGCTGACAGCCCCCCGCCCCGCCCCCACCGCGGCGCCGGCCCGACTCACCACAGCGACTCCAGGTCCCACTCCTGCAGCAGCGCCAGGTCGAAGCTGTCCATGGTGCGCGGCCCGCGGGGACCCGGCCGCTCGGCCGCACGCGCCGCTCCAGGTGCGTCCCCGCCGGGCAGGCCCCGCGCCGCGCGCCCGCCGCCTCCGCCGCCCGCGCCGCCCCCCGCGCCGCCCCCCGCGCCGCCCCCCGCGCCGCGCCCCGCCCGCGCCCGCCGCGCCCCGCGCCCGCCTTTCTCCGCCGGGAGGCGCGTGTGCGCGAGCCGGGCCGGGCGCGCGCCCGCCCCGCGCCCCCCCGCGCGCCCCGCGACACCCGCGCGCGCCCCCCCACGCGCCCTCCCGGCCCCGCGCGCGACCTGCGCCCCGCGACACCGCGCGCCCTCCCGGCTCCGCGCGCGCCCCCGCGTCCCCCGCGCGCCCCCCGCGCCCTCCCGGCTCCGCGCGACTCCCGCGCGCCCCCCGACAGCCCGGCCCGCGCGCCCGCCGCAGCCCCGCGCCCGCCCGCCCGCGCCCCGCCCGGACGCCCGCCCGCCCCGCTCTCCCGGTGCAGCTGCGGCCGGGGGCGCGCCCGGACTTCTGCGGCAGCCCCGGGCCTGAAGTTCCGCGGAGACGGCGCGGGCGGGGACGCGGCTCTCCCGGCGCGACCCGCAGTCGGGCCGGAGGGGGGGCGCCCCCGCTCGAGCGCCCCGGCCCGGAGTCCAGCCGGGCGCCCGCTGCCCTTCGCGGGAGGGCCGGGCCTCGCTCTACACGGCCAGGTTCCTCGCCCCTGAGAGCGGGGTGCCGGCCGCGGGTGCCCCCCTGGCCTCCTGGGACGTCCGGATCAGTAGAACTCCCTGCGCCCTTCCAGGCACCTCCATCCCGCCCGCCCCGCCCCGTCCCAAGCTGGGCCTGGGCTGTTCACCCGCCGCCGGGCTGCCTGGGACCCCCAGCGCCCTCTCCGCCTGACCCCTGGCTCCGGGCTCCTGGCCACAGCCTGGGGAGCCTCAGCCAACTCCAGAGAATTCCTGCAGCCGGCGGTCCTCAGGGGCGCACGCAGCCTCCCTGCCTCCCTGTGTGCATCCTGAGAACTGGGGGCTTCTCCCGAAGGCCCTGGGCCCGGGGTGGAATCAGTCTCGAGGTCTGGCTGCTCAGGCCTCGCGCGAGTGACCGCCCGCTCTCTCCCTGCCCGCAGAAAGAGGATTAACACACTAAATCTGGGGGGCTGTGGGAAGAACAGGGAAAGACAAAGGAAATTCTTTCTGGGGGGGGTAGATTGCACAGTCTCAGTCCCTCTTTCCCCCATCCTGCTTTTATTAGCATGCATAACTAATATGCAAAATGTAAAACAATAAATCAAGGCAGAGCCGGCTTCTTCAACGTAGTTCTAGGAAACAGAATTCTTGTTTTTACAAGCCGACAACATCACGCTCCCCAAATTTCCTTCATTCCTTGAACGGAGTAGCAACCAGGCCACAAAAGAACAAAGGGAGTGTGATGCTGGAGAAAGTACAGGTGTGAAGAGCTGTCTCCTCAAACCCTGATCTGCAGCGGGTTGGAGGAAAGGAAAGGCCCCGTCTTCGGAGCACAAGCCGTGTTGGAAATGTTTGCTCTGGCAAAAGCAAGAAGCCTGAGACAGAGAGAGCATTCCCAGGAACAAAGGATGGGGGTGGAGGGCGGAGGAGAAGGAGCAGAACAGCTCCTCTTTGGAAGTACTACAAGTTCCACCGCCTGAACAAAAAAATGTATCCTGTCCCTGTGCTCAGGGCTGAGCTTGTGCAGAAAGGAGGCTCCCGGCCCCTCCTGGGTCCCTCTCCTTCCCTTCCCGCTGCATCTGTTTATACAAAGGAGTGCTGCTCAAGAACAAACAGAACCGTGTTTACTGGGAGTCCCATCCAGGGTTTGAAGCTCAAGACACAGCTCTGCCCTCACCCTGGAGGCCAGAGATAAATAGATAATCCTGGAGAAGGGAAGAGCACAGCCAGCCGTGGGGGTAGAATGCTGACTGCTGGTGTCCTCCTAAATGGCCTCTTCCAAATGCCTGGGAAGAAGGGCTATGTTTGTATTCGGATTGAAACGCGGGGTTTTGTGTTATTCTGTGAGTTTGTTTGAGCCCAAAGTCATGTCCTTGTTGGGCATCCACTCCCCTCCTCCAGAGGCCCCCCTCTGCCCCTCCAACTCCCCAGCTTGGAATAGCTATTATTTTCTCTTTGGACTCTCCAACACGAAGGAAGTTGACTTGATACTTTTCATTTCCAATGAAGACTTTTGAAGAAACCGAAATAATAGAGGTAGCATTTTCAGCATGTTGTTATGGAAATAAAAGCAGGGGTTCCCAAACATATTTGCCCTACGGCCCCCATTTCAGAAGAAAATCGTTCGTTGCCCCTTCAACAAACTGAAAGGAAGGAGTCCACCATCTGCCCCTAGGGAACCGCAACCACCTCCGCATTGCTCCAGTGCCTCCCAGCAGATGGGATTACCCACTTTGGGTAACAGTGGTCTGAAGTAACAGCATCAACGTGTGAAACGCAGAACAGCTACTGAGCACCTTCGTGGGAGGGTCTTCTGTACCGTCTTCGTCTCGTTAAGATATTCTTTTTTATCCTCTAGCCCCAGCGTACATGTACCAAACAATGCTTAATCTGGTTGTCAAAATCTCAAATCTTGAATATCGAGAAAAACCAGGCTTGGACTTCCTGGGATTAGAACACCAGACTAAAGGTAAAGGTTTCATTTTCTGCTTTTATAAGAGTTAGATGCCACCAAAATTGAAACAAAGATGAGGGGCTGAGGCACTCGTTCAAAGGGTGGAATGACATGCTTTGCACTCGCAAGGCCCTGAGTTCCGGCCGAGCACCCTCCTGAGCCCTGGTGGGCCACCAGTGTTGGTGGGGATGCTCTCCACAAACGTCCAAAATGAAGCAGAAGCAGGGGTTTCTGTGCCGGGTGGCATGATGTGCATGCAGGATGCCCGGGTTCTCTCCTTGGCACCGTCTGCTTCCAGAAGCGAACACCGGGCACTAACTTGGAGTACTCCTGAGCACCAGGGGGAGGTAAAATGGAGGAAACAAATTTGGTTTCAAAACACCGATGTCTTCAAAGAAAGAATTGCAGACACTCTCCATGCCCTAACCCTGGAGGCAGAGGGGCGCTGCTCCTGAGACCAAGGGAAACCAACAAACCGTGGGAGCTGCTGCTGGAGGGAGGTCAGGTTTGTTGGTTAGACTAAGTCCAAACACAAAGGGGATTGAGGAGTGAGTCCTGCTCCCGGGGAAAGACGGAGGGCACTTCGAGACGGTGGCCAGTCTCCACTGACCTTACATCGGAAGCTGCCTTACTGGACCCAGGAGCAAATCTGTGACACCCAGCGAAAATTTCCCCATGGAAACAAGCAGAGGGAAAGAAAACCCTGGCGTAGCTTTCATTCATGCCTTATTCTGAAGACTTGGCGGCAGCTACAGGATTGGTCCTGTAATGAAATGGAATTTAAAATAATAATGATAATAATCATCATCCCACCACTCCCCTAGAAAAATGACTGCCCAAAGATGGAGCAGGTGGTCGTGCTGGGAGGGGAAGGGAGCCCCTCCCCCAGCTCCCCGGAATTGTCTCAGCCCCTTCCATGCTGCCCAGCAAGGCTGCACGCTCATCATGCAGTCTGCTCTCCTTCCAGAGGCTTCTAGGGTGATTGCACTATATCTAGGGATTGCAGGGAAAAAGCAGCGTTCCACTTGCAAAACGCACAGAAAAATGTCAACCGTGTTCACTTAACACTAGACCGAGGAGTTGTGGCTTCTTCATGCTTGCCTTGTCCACTGATATCTTAGAATGGGTCCAGCCTGGGATCTGAGGTGCCTTGCTTTTTCTGTTTGTTTTCATCATTCACCAGGTCCCGAGCAGATGGTGTGGCTGTGCTGGCTGTCATCACTCCTCCTATGTTTCCATGGAAACATGGGGCATAGGGACCATCTCTGCCTTGGGCTCTCTGACAGTATCCTGTGGCGGAGAACTTCAGCTCTCTGGACCCCTCCCCCTTGCCTACGCACATCCTGCAGAGTTGAGAATGTTCCAAGGCTCTGTGAGTCAGGGTCATTTCAGAGATCACCGAAGGGCATACGACCCACAGTGGTCGTGAACTGGCAGAGGAGGAATGCCAGTGACCCCACTCCCCTGGATCCCCTTACAGGGCTGCAAGGTTTGCACTACTGGTGTATGGAATACCTGGCCCTTCTCCGGCTTCCATATGCTTGATTAAGGCCCAGATGTCAGAAGAGCTGGTCCTGTGATGGCCAATCGCCAGGCAACAGAGTGCAACTATGTGTGTGAATCACATTTCACTCTTCACTAAGGTCTGCCATGTGCACTGCTTTTTTTCCCCTGTAAAACCATGTTTTTCTTAAGGAATGTACCTTTTCCAGAGCTTCCAACATCCTCCCGCCTACATAATTCACTTATATGGCCAAGACATTAATTAGATTCAGAAGTCTGTGGAAACGGCGGAGCTAGGCCAGGTCAGAGGCCAAGCAGGGCAGAAAAAGAGAGGGGTTGAAATGACCCTTGGGAGAGGGGAAGGAAAGGGAAGGGAAATTTTTCATGCCACTCAAGTATCAAACAAGACAAAGATAACTTCAAAATGTGGCCGACTACCATAACTGTTGCTGAATTAACATAGAGCCGAGTTAAAGAGGTCTGCTTTTCAAAAGTGTTGATCTGGTCTAAGATGTCCGTGCAAATCTGTCTTTGGCATTAGTTGCTCCTTGAACAGCTGGTGAAAAAGAGTAATGTGTGAAGCTCACCACGTTTATAACAGGACAAAGAAACAAAGCAGGAGCATGTACTGAAGATGAAAACTGCAGGCAGAAAAGGCCTGTGCTACTCATAAAAACACATCAGAAAAAAGTGTTACCTATCACTGGTCACGTGTTTCGTGCTATGCTCACCTACTGGGGAGGATTCCATTATTTCTGACATGAGAAAATTCTTTGATGCTGGTAACAAAAACCAAACTTCCTGACCTAAAAGTTAATATTGTCACTGGCTTGTTCTTGTGCTTCTTCCAGATGTGCTCTGTACTATGGTGCAAGATGTAAGTCCTCTGAGCCTGTTAAAAATAGGAAAGAACTAATCATGATAGCAAACATTTCTGTGTTATGATAGATTCTGACTGCCAGCTCTA